GTAATCTGGGGGCTGGCGAACTCTTGGAAAGGCAATTAATTTTATTAACCTAATCGCTTAAACTATCCAGTTTATTTGTACATAGCTATAGGGAGTATTTTGTATTTATTTTTCTTTACCATTCAATGTTTCTTTAAATTTGGAAAGTAAACTGTGTAAGTGTGTCATGGACCAGATGGAACAAACACTTTTAATGAGTTGTTTGACCTTTAGTGCGGCTCGATAACTCTCGGATTGCAGCCATACTTACGTCTTTCCACCCCCCCCCTTACCTTTACCTCCCCCCCCTTACCTTTACCTCCCCCGACAACCCTGTATCAGTTTTACCACTACATCGAGTCGAGTGGTCTCAAACAATAACAACTTCAGCAACTGTTTCATGAACCGTAGGTCTCCACTGGATAATTTTACCTAGCAAGGTGTGTCTTGTATTTAGATGCATTGTAGATTCATTAAGCTGTATCCGCTGTTGGAATACATTCAACTAGTGGCTTGTAGGGACATAAGTCCCTAAAAAGCTCAAATGTAAAACAACTTTTTGCAATACCGGTATTTAAACAAACTCAGAATAACATTATCTATGTGTCAGAATAGGCATCCCTACACTATATCTTTTGTGTAAAAACCAGTTTGTTGTTCTTCTTTGTTTGCTTTTGTTGATGTCATTTTAGCGAATTTCCCTATAGGGAAGTAGCTATTACCGTAGGTCTCATGGTAAGACTTAGGCCCGGGACCGATTTACTTTTTCATTTTGATGTCCCCAGAGGCCAAAAACACCATTCGTTCAAATTTTTATATATGTATATATATATATATATATAGGTATATATATAGATTTATATATACAGTGTGTAAATTAAGTATGGAAACAAATCTGTATTTTTAAAACCGAAATAGATAGAAATATTCTATTTGTGGCAATAATAGTTAACAAAGATTCCGCAATTTTTCACATGAAAAATATTTTTTTACCCCCCTAACAGGGTAGGTGGTAGGGGGTGACTTATTTTTTTCAAATAGCAACCCCTATTGAGTGACCCCTCATTTTGAAGGGTTTGTCAAAAGAAACACAATGACGCAAATCCGAGGTGAATATCTCACTCCTAGCCCAAATGGCGGATATTCCAAAATTTCATTTATTGTACGTGAAAAGCACCAATTTCACAAATAATGGAAAGAAATCTGTATTTTTAAAACCGAAATAGATATAAATATTCTGTTTGTGGAATTGATTGTTGACATAGGTTCCGCAATTTTTTTAATTAACAATATTTTTTCAACCCCTTTAACAGGGTAGGGGGTGGGAGTGACTTATTTTTTTTCAACAACAACCCCTATTGAGTGACCCCTCATTTTGAAGGGTTTGTTAAAAGAAAAAGAATGACGCAAACCCGATGTAGATATTTCACCCCTAGCCTAAATGGTGGGTAATGAAAAATTTAATTTTTGTAAAAAAAACCCATTTTGGAATATCCGCCATGTTAGCTAGGAGTGAGATATTCACCTCGGATTTGCGTCATTGTGTTTCTTTTGACAAACCCTTCAAAATGAGGGGTCAATCAATAGGGGTTGCTATTTGAAAAAAAAAGTCACCCCCTACCACCTACCCTGTTAGGGGGGTAAAAAAATATTTTTCATGTGAAAAATTGCGGAATCTTTGTTAACTATTATTGCCACAAATAGAATATTTCTATCTATTTCGGTTTTAAAAATACAGATTTGTTTCCATACTTAATTTACACACTGTATATGTGTCCGTGAACACGATAACATGAGTAATTTTTATCCGATTTTGATGAAATTTGGTTTGAAGGTGTAAGGCGGGATAAACTTGAATGAGTTCGCGATCCAGCATGATCGGACCATGGGAATAGGGTTTTATGGGGAGTTTTATGGGGTAAAAATTGGGTTTTCTCACTTTTGACCCTCAAAACACGAAATTTCCCAATTTTTCTCTAAACCTTCTTAAAGAGCTTAAAAAAACAAACAATTCAGTATATCAAAGTGTTTTTGTACGGTTATTGGTTACGGAGAAAACTAAAAAAATTGTAAATTTAAAATTCCCATGTTATTCTTATGGAGAATATTGTAAAATGTTGTAGTTTGCTTGTTTATGGATATCTTTTGTTCAAACTTGGCAAATATATTCATTTTCTACTAAGCAATAATTATTTTACTTAAAACACACACTTTATTAGTTTCCTTGTAGCAGCAAACCTAGGTACTCGTTAAACCTAATGTTATTTAAATAGATCAATTGAAAATCAATTAAGCCAAATGGAAATTCGCTTAGACGGCAGGTTTGCTGCGGCGGGGGTATTCAATAAATAATTTGAATCACTCCAGTGGTTTAACATGAAAAGGCAGCAAACATACCATTGTTTGTTAATAAATACTGGTTTACTAAGGTAGCTTTGGTCTTGTGGTTAATGAAGATAAATAAAAGCTTCCCTGTTTGGAATTTTAAAAATTCATTGGAGGTTCGCCTTCAGATGAATTGAAAACGCCTGCAATTTGATCTGCAGTAGGCTTATTATACCTACGACGATCCATATTTATCCTAAGTTCTAATTCACTGTTACCTTGTACAACCATTTCTTCCGAAGCTCTTTTGTAAATTTGTGCAAATGGATTTTCTAATAGAATTTCAGCTAGTTTTGACAATATTTCAGGTTTTAAGTCACTATTTTCTCGACGCCTTTGACGAATTTCTGTTGCTGTTGATGTGTCAATAATGTACAATTGGCCATACTGTCTTCATCATGTTGAGGCAGCAAATCTGAGATTGAACGATAAATCTGTCCTTGAATTTTGAAACAGTATGGTCCTTTTCCTGGAATATCTTTCTTACTGGCTGAAAAATAAGCAAAAGCCATCGCACTGTTGCATTGTCGAATGAATTTATACAGTTGTGGGCTCTCTTCAAACAAACTTTTAAGTTCTACATTAGTTTTTGACTGAGGAAGGTTAAAAGTCCGTTATGGTAACATGTCATAAAATGATTATTCGTTAGTTCTTCTCTAAAATGAAGAGCACTACATTGAATGCACTCTTGGTCCAATAATCCTGCATCATGGATCTTTACATTTCTCTCGTCTACCATGGGTCTCCTAAAAAGGGGTTGTAACATATCTTGATTAAGTTCGTCATTATCTACTCTTGCTCTCCTACGCGCACTGTCATTCCTATGAACAGTTCCCCGCCTTTGTGGTATTCCCCTGGCGTTCATATTAATTACAGTACTTATAATGAAAAGAATATATATCCAGCAGCCTACATACCAAAACATCTTGAATCCCTGGTGATTTTATAAAAGTATGATCGAATATGATTACTCTACGTTGTATATTAACTGCACTAAAAAAATTTACTTACGAAGGAATGCAAATACACCATTTTAGAACCAATAACATTTATAGGTTATTTTAGTTGTATATATTTACACAACCTTAACCTTAAAATGTGTAGAAATATAAAGAAAACAACATCATTTAAAATAAACTTGAACATATGATTTAAAAATAAAAACAAAACAGACCCCTCCCATCCTTCTACGGCCATCCAGTCACTCACAATTTCTTTACAAAAATTTGACTTACGGAATTATATATATAGATAACTTAATTTTGCATAAATTAAATGCCTAGTGGACTGCTGTTTAAAGATACTTATTTAGACTACTAAGGTAAATAGGTTTAGTGGCTGGGCGATTTGAATTTACGAGAAATATTAGATGTAAACTACAGAATGTTTTAATTTTTGTATGGATATTATTGAGTTTGATTCTTCTGTATAGTTGAAATGATATGGATTGAATTTTAAAATTGTCAAGAGTATCCTGCAGGAACAAGTTGTGAGGAATGATGTTAGTAGGATAAGGGTAGGATATATAAGCATAGAAAAGTAGTATAAATAACTAAAAATCCCAAAAATACAACGCTAATCAGCCAAAATATAAGATTTGGGGGTTGTTTGAAAATAAATTACTTTTTAATGCTAAAAAACGTTTCGTTACTAGACATAATGTAGCATAAGTATTTGTTCATGTTTGCTTAAATTTATCCTCACAAGTGATATTAGTTGTTCGACATGCTGATTACCGGAATTTTCATAATCAAATTTCTTTCATGATAAAATGTGGAATAACATTCTGAACCAAATTGATAGCAAAAAACAATTCAACTAGTTTCCAGTGAGGTAGTGTTTTGGAGGGAAACGTGTAAGAGGAAGAATTGGAGGGAAGGTAGATGTCCAGAATAGGTCACGCCACTGAGCTGAGGGACCCACTAATGCATTAGGACACGCACAATCTAGACCTCTAGCTGTCTAATGTCTGATAGGACGATACATTAGCCTCGGCCACTCACTAGAAGGTTAAAGTTGAAAACTATGCTTTGTTTACTCTTCATACCTGTTATGTTCGTAGATAATTGCAGTTAGTTTACAGACAAGCACATTTCACCACACGCAAACTGTAACCCGTTATTTCGACAAAACATAGTGATAGCCCATTTTATCGCTGCATCGTTGTGATCATGACATAAATGTACATTACATGTGACATTACATAAATGTAATAGTTAGTTAAAATCTAAACCTTTTTGGACCTCTCTGGACACTTGTTTGTAAACTAAATGAATAGAGAGCATTACAAATTTCCCAACCTAAAAGAACTGAACATAGATACTTAGATTTTCTAAGGCTTTGTGTTTGTACCAGGTAATCGTAAAGCAACTGAATCGAGTAAGCTGAAATTGTACAAAAATGTACATTTCATGAATTCTGCCAACACCTATTCACGTCCTTAAATTTACCGGGCTACGCCCCATGAACGTCCAGAATTCCGTTGTATGGCTTTTGGAAGTTACAATCTCCATGGAAAGAAAAAGAAACCCCCCTGCGATGCACGAGTAAAACAACTAGTATGTGCCAATTTGAAATACAACAAACTCTGAATCTTCTATTTCCATAAAGTGGAATAACCTACAAACTAGACCTACCGGTGGACAGGAGACTTGTTTTAATCCTCTACACCCAGTGACTTGTATCTTGGTGCCGTTGTGTCTAGTTGTTACATGGATCTGTGGACAGAAGCCTGATGTCTTGGTGAGGCACCATTCACCACAACTCGCCCAGTCACAGTTGTTCACCAGGCTGGTGTTCACCTTAAACAACACAACAAACTCGGGTCATTGATTAAATATTCAAAGACATTTGTTTTCGCTTTTAGACAGTTCAGTTAGATGCTTTGTGAAACCTACTCAGTACCTGTAACCAGAATAATTAAGAGCCAAAGACCTGTGAATGACAGCTGGAAACAGTTCCAGATGTCCAAGAAGAATTTTGCTCTTACGAGCTATGCTCACAGGGTCATCAAAGATAAATGTTTACAGTTCCAAATGTTCAAACATCGTTCCCTATAAAGGTTGTGGGATCTCAAGGCTGCCAGGGTGCAATATAAATTTAAAAAAATCTTACTCAGGAATTGATTGAAATTAGGTTTTTCGATGATAGTTGGACGCCTTTCGGATACAATTCGGACGCCTTTCGGATACAATTAAAAAAATAATTTATTCTACAATTTTAGGGATCCTAAAATTTGTTAAAGGCGAATGAATAGCCTACAGTTTAAGAAACAAGACGTAACAAATGTTTTTTAATGTAAAAGTTCTCAGGGTTTTATTATTATTTTTGTCTTGTGTTGAACATGGATTCAAAAATAAATAAAAAGCGTTGCTATTATCGCTCTCAATCCTCATAGTTACTATAATGATTTATGTAGATACTAGAGGTTGTCCAGTGGTCGAAAACTCGACCAAAAATATGTATTGTACAGACTTATCTATTTTTACCCCTCACTGTAAATAAAACATGTGACTGGAAGCTTCCAGGCTTGCCTAAAATAAAACTAAGATAAACATGTTAAATTATACTTTTTTGTTAAAACATTTTCAAAACAATCGATATATTAATTTTGTTCTCCTATCCCGGATTTATTACAGGAGCTACTCTCGGTCCTCCTACTAGTCATGTAATAGTTTTATTGAACGTTAACATGTACTAGAGGTCGTCCAGTGGTCGAAAACTTGACCAAAAAATAATACGTAATACAGACTTCTCTATTTTCACCCCACGCTGTAAATGTAACACGTGATTTGAATTTCTTCAATTTTTTTGATTTTCTGTTTATATTTTGTTGTTATTTCGTTACCATAGCGACCCTTAAAGCCCATGTTAATTTTTTTAAACTTTAAATTAATTTTTGTGCTTATTTTGAGCATATTTTAATTTATAAAGGGATTCTGCATATCTACAGGAAAAAATCTTTCTAAAAGTATGCGTAGATTTCCCCTTCAATGCACACAAGCTAAGAAAAAAGGGTTTCAAGAAACGTGTTTGCCTATCAATATATAGATAGGTCCGACAGCCTGTTTGTTTTGAATTATCAGGATTTCCCTACTCCAACTCACCGCTTGGCACATGACGGGCACGGGCTGCATGCCGCTGTTGAACGCCTTGTGACTGGGCATGTAGACAGCCACGGTGAGGTACACCAGGGAGACACAGGAGAGGACGATGGTCAGCTGGCAAAGACATACGAACCCGCAAATCCTCTTGTCTTGCTCCGGGATGAGGCGAGGTTTGTCCTGACGACGTCGCCCCATCACATCCGTCAGCAGGGCGGAACCATGGAGGCGACACCTGCGGAACACCGGGGGTTAGATGTTGGGGTCACTGGAAGTCTAAGGAGGGAGGGGAAGAAGAGGACGAGGAGGTTAATGGAGAAGAGTAATAAGGAAAGGGAGAAGGATGATGATAATCGGATCATCTCTATAAGACGTTTGCAGCAGCTGTTAATAACGAAAAGGCACGAGACAAAGTTAAAAAAGTTCTTATTGAAAAGAGTTTTTCGACATAGGAGAGTACCATTACACATTGTAATGGTCTCTGTATTATTATACACAGGTACCATGGGTGAGGAGTCAAACCCGTTCCTCAGGATTATAAAACCGTACTCGTAACACTATACTAGCCCTGATATTATGGAGGAATGGAATGAACCATTGACTATTGGATACAGAAGTTGTTGTATTAATAGTCAAAGAATGAACTTAACAACGATTTCTTTCACATATTTTTCGATTTTATCACTCGTAGATCACTATTCTGAAATGTTTTGTCTTTGAACTTATAAAGATCTGCTTCTCACATAATTTTGGTTTGGACTTTTTTGGTGGAGTTCACAAAATGCCTAAACTATGGTTTTGATTGAAATGTCAACTTCCTGCGTCAACTAACTGCTAAACCAGCCACGCTTCATATAGTTTTCTAAGCTAAACTTCATATTGTAAACCGTTACACCAGAGCTGTAATATCGTTAACATGCGAGTCTAGGTTATTACAACTTGTAATGGCTTCACTGTTGGTAGGAAGGCTGTTCGATCGTCATAAAATGCTAACATAAGTAGTTTTATACTTTCAGTTAGCCTATATTACATTTTTGGTTTATATACACACAACATATTGCTAACTCAAAAAGTTCATCATTTGATCTTGGAATAACAACTTAGACTCAAAACAGATCAGTCAAAAAAATTCCGTTACAGATTTTTTAAAAACAAGTATGAAAAATACAGTTAATTGAAAATAAAATGCTTTATACATTCTCATAATATGAGGGGAAATGATTTTGACTTAAAACCAGTTATATAACAAAAACTTTTTTTAGAGTTTTACGTTATGTTTATAGGTAAAACAAGGTGCATATAAAACATACAACAACATCGTACATCTAAGTATCATAAAAATAAAAACCTACATATTTATAAGTTTTATTCCACCCTCTCTATAAACTCATCAGTTAGGAAAACCGCAAGTGACAAATTTACGCATGAATTACATGCGATAAATCTAGACTCGTGTAGGATTATGTTGTTGGTACGCGATGAATAATGTCCTCAATACAATTTGTACAGTTTAACGCGTATGGGAGGCTGTTGTGAATGTTTATGGGGTAGATATGACCGTCCCACCCTCAAAACACCATTACTTGGAGCTGCCGCCATAACTAACGTGTAACATGTACTATAGCCTGGCTCAGTGCGGCATGCGTTCAATTCATATTGTTGGGGAATTCCTCTGGGTATTATAGGAGCTCATAGAAAATATTTCGAACGAAACACTATGCAAATGTTAACAATAATGATGACTTAGAAGAAATATATTTATTACTTAATGGCTGAGGGATGTCCCTTGAAATGGTATTTAGCTTTGTAACTCGTATAGGTATAATCTGTGTACGTCCCGTAAACCCTGTCTGTACTCTGGATTTACTAACGTGAAAGTCTAAAGAGTTAAATAAAAAAATGTTAGTCAGTGTATAAATTAAATTTGAATAGTGTAAATACTTTAAGCCTTTACTTATACCGATGTATGTCTTTTAAGCCAAGTATGAATGGAGACATACCTAATGACGAACAGTAATGTACAAGGTATCCAGTTAGGCAGTTAAAATAAGTTCGTTGAAAACATGATGCCAACATTCAAATCGACTCCCATGACCAACACTGAGCCACATGATGAAAAGATAAATCCACACGGAGTAAGTTTAATACTTGAATATAAATAGAAATAGACTATCCACGCCCATGTTTAAGTGGTAACCAGTTTTAGAATAAATATCAACTAATTGGATAACACCAACTAAATAGTGCGCAGGTGTCAAAATGCAGACGCGGATGCTACAGTTCACCTAATTATCTCATATGGCCCAGTTATTTTTATCAGATTGAATCCAAGTATCAATTTTACTGCCCACAATAGTCTGATTAATAATGAAAGGGCGAGATCGAAGACAGAAGCCATGAAACGGAATGTTCCTGCACGCGCGCCAACCAAACGTGGATCGGTCAGTAGGTAAACATTTAAGCTGGTTACTACTGCGAGTTACCTAGAATAACAATAACACCGTGACATTAACAACATGAGCAGAAGATCGGAGTTAGTCTGTTAAATTAATGTTTCACACTACTGTGTACCGATAATGCCAATGTTGTAAAAATGGAGTTCTTTAGATGCCAAAAAGCGATTATAGGTACTGGAATATAACTAACAATTTTTCTCAGCTCGTGTGGATAGCAGGAAAAAATCTAAAATCTACGCATACTGTTAGAAAGATATTTTCATTTAGAAGTGCAGAATCCCTTTAATTAAAATAGGCTCAAAAATAAGTACAACAAATTAATTTAAAATTAAAAAAAATAAGGTTGCCATGCTGTTGACTAAATTAAAACGATAAATAAACAGCAAAATCGAAACAAATGGAAGACTGCTACATAATCATTAATTTACAGCTTGGGGTGAAAATAGAGAAAGTCTGTACATTACATTTTTTTTGGTCGAGTTTTTGACCACTTACTACCACTTACTGACTTCTAGTAATCCCTATATGGGAATTCAGCTAAAATATTGGTGCTTGCATTCTTCTCAATACAAATACTCATCGCCAAAGTTGGCGAAGAGTTCGCGAAGAAAACAGTTTTACTGGTTTATAAGATATAAAACTGGTGACTTATCAATAAAACTGTTTACAATGTTCTCAAGTGCAGTTCGCAAAGGGGATTGAAGACGCAAGTAGGATAATATAATTACAAATTACATTTCATTTAATAATTAATGGTACTTAAAATTACTTAAATTTCAATAAAAAAATTGTAAATATAAAAAATTTCGATTCCGAGTAGGCCTACTGTTTATTTTACAACGTTATACAACAACGTAGGTAAATATAGATCCATCTAATCCTAATACGTATATTTAATATACCGGTACATTATTTGTTATGGAAACGATACATAAACTCCTATATACTCTATATAATATACTCTAAGACAACATTTGCTGACTTTTTTTATCTTATAGGCTAGTGTTTTTATTATTTTCAATAATCCCATGCCATCCCAGTAGCCTATGTGGCAGATTGTTGAGACAGAGTTTAATGTCTAAATTCCTTAAATATTACAACTGTACAAACTACCTCAGTACTACAGTACTATCTACTACAACCGTAATTACAGAGAATGGCAAACCATTGCAAAAAAATAAAACTACCAACTACTTACAGATATGCCCCCTCCGTGCTGCCTTAAAAAAATTGTCAGTACAATCGTACTTTAGCTCTCTTAGAAAGCTGAGCCAAGAAGCCCTAATTTCATCGTCTTGTCGTATTACACTGTTTTCTGCCTCATAATCCTTTATGTAAGGCTTCTTAAGCTAACAGTTATGGGTCTCCTTCCTTGGAAGATGAGACACTTCTTGTTTGAATAGTAAATGCATACTTATTGTCTTTACGATGTTACTTGTTTTTGTTTAAATGTTATTTTATATCTGTTTAACGTGTTTGGGGTTATTTTATGTCACGGGTGTAAACCTTGACAAGAATAATACACATAAATAGGTAGGGAAATATTATAAATCTCTTGTCTATTCAACTCTTTGTAATACTTTTCTTATATTGTTTAAATATTGTTAAATAGTTGGTTTCGAGTTTAGGGGTATTTTCAGTCACAAATTAAAACTAAACAAATCAAAATACCTATTAGTCTTGAGCGCTTCCAAGTAAAAACTGTTTTACAGAATAACAGACGAATACAAATAAACAATACAAATTTTCTAGCATAAAGAGATTTATTGCCTAGAATCCAGTAACAAGTGAACAAGAATCACAGTGAGAACAAGAATCAATCCTAAGCTACCTAAACAAAAACTCAAATAAACCAATTTTATTTCACGAATCACTCCCTATAATATCTATTAGTTTTCTAAAACCGTCAGGAAATACGTCATAATAAAAGAGTTTCTTATATTCAATTTTAGACGGTTTACATCGGAACTCAAAAACGAAGAATTCAAACTTAGAGATGAAAGAAATAGGGACTGAGCTCTGTAAATAATCGCATAAATAAATGGAATAATTCATGACTTAGCGACTGAGGTCTTCAGATCTGTTTTGAGTCTAAATTGTTATTGCAAGATAAAATAATGAACTTTTTGAGTTAGCAATATGTTGTGTTTATAAAACCAAAATTGTAATATAGGCTAACTGAAAGTATAAAACTACTTATGTTAGCATTTTATGACGATCGAACAGTCTTCCTACCAACAATGAAGCCATTACAAGTTGTAACAACCTAGTGGCTTTCATGTTAACGATATTACAGTTCTGGTGTAACGGTTTACAACATAAGCCTAGTAGTGTATCACTATCAGAATGTTGAACATTGAAAATATTCCTCGTTATTATGAGGCTAGATGCAAACAAATAGTGACAAACAAGAATAATTTGTTAGAATTCAAGTGTTTAGTGTAGTGTAGTTGATGCGTATTGCTACAAAACATCTAACCAATTGCAATTGTAACGCACCAGTAATTATCTTGACGAACCTTAGCTTGCTGGATCTCTATTCGAAAGACGATACAAAAACATTATTATACAGGAGTTTTTAACTAGATATTTTCTAATGAATAATCGGACTGAGGTTCTTGAACTAAATTAATTTTATTTCAATTAGATAATAATTAACTTAATGTTTATTGAACATTAGGTTTGAAACTTTTAAATACATCTTCTCGTGAACCACTATGAGGGGGTTTCTTTATGCAGTCACAAAAAGTTGAATTATTGGCTTTCAAGCATCAATTTA